GTAAAACAAGTAGTATAATAGAATCTGTCACACACCACACACGAGCACTAAATAAATAAATAAATCCCAGGTCATGTAGAAGCATTAATTAATTCAGGTATGAAAATTAATTTCTGATCTTCAATATTATAAAGTAAGCCACTCGAAGAGCCTTATAAATTTACAAACATTAATCAGTAATTTAACTTTTCTGTTATTTGGATTACAAGAATAATATTAATGGAGATATTATTAGTAACACGACACATTTTATTAAGACATGTCAAAGAAAGATCGATTCTTTTTAAGGTTTTTGTTACTCTTTTTGACGTGTAAACTGTGCATGCACGGTGCCACTTTTGTGATATTTAAACAGTCTGACACGGCCATATAATAGACTAATTTGATCTTTTTAATTATATTACTGTATCATTATATGCTTCAACATCAGAATCTCCACCAGTGTTTATTATGGTCCGTTTCCCAGTTTTAATAGATATATGTGTCTCCTCTACCCACTTATAAATCTAATCAATTAACATGAAAAAGTGAGATATCAAACGCTATCTTGTTTGATGGAAAAGCAGTGCAGTTATGTATATATATTTTCTATTTTATATCTGTCCTTTATTATGAAAATCATTATCAACGTGAAAACTAATCTGAACTTTTCAAGAAGTAAGATTATTGAAATTATGGATAAGAAGCTTATCAGAAATCTTCTTTTTTTTTTTTTTTTGGTGAAAATTGTAGTTTATCATTATTCATTTACTCACCTTTTGAGATAATAACCTTATGAAAACAGGTCCTTATCAGGAGTTGACAAGGCTTAGTTATAGACTTACGCTATTTGTGATGCAAAAACAGGCCTCCAAAGTCAAAATAGATCACATGAAGTAATCTTAATAACCGTGTAATGAAATAATCGTTCTTATCATTCTTTTATTGATTACAAAGAATTTGAATCAATTTTTTTATTTTAAGGAAGATGTTTTTCAAATCAAAGAGATATAAACACTAATACACTCGAATGAGCTCACAATACAAGAAAACTTAACATCGATCAGTAAGAGATAAAATGTTAATGAAACATTCAAGGGAATGAAACGAAACATTTTATAACGTAAGATGTAATACCTTTGTTTTTTTGTTTGATATTAAGTACCTTGGTTTTTCTACAACATCACCAATAGATTTTTAACGTGAGATACTCTTTTTTTATTTTAATGAAAGCGATTTTAATATGATTTGACGATGCATAATTGTATAGTATAAGTTGAGTATTTTATCACGCAGATTCACTTTTACAGAAATTTCATAATTCATAAAACAGTTTCTTCTTATCAAATATAGTTCTGTCACGTTGTCAACTTGTCTCTAAGCCTACAACCCTTTTCTCAATATCCTCTTACTCGTAAAGATGCTCGTGGGACACATTAGGTGTGTAAAGCCAACAGTTGTTCGAAGATATATTTTGATGATAATGATTGCTACATAAATTAAATATGGAGGAAGGAAAATGAGTGGCTCATAATAATGAGAAAGAACTAGATCACCCCATGTGGAAACTTTACCATCACACAGCATTTAGAAGAAAAGAAAAAACAGGGGGGGAGGGGGTGGGGGGAGAGAGAGAGAACATGGAGGACTAAGGCCTCATTCATTTCAACGAGAGAGAGACAGAGAACATGGAGGCCACTAAGGCCTCGTTCATTTTAACGATTCGAGTTTTCAGTTTTAGGTTTCTACAGTAAAAAATTTTCAGAAAATATCACATCTAACTTTTTCTGCTACAGTGAAAAGCTCTCAGAAAATGTCACATCTCAGCTCGAATTGAAAACTCAAATCCGCGAAGTGAACGAGGCCTAAAGCTATACAAAATCTTGCTCTAGTTAAACGACAGAACATAATTAGAGCTTATGTTTAATGGATTATTCATTGCTAGAGTGGTAATTATGAATTAATTTGCATTAATGTAACTAGTACAATAATTTAGGGCCGGTAATTTTAGACACGACACGATGAAATGACACGAAAATGACACGAGATAATTAGGTTTGGACCGCACGATTATTAATTGAGTCGTTAACGGGCTGGCACGAATAACACGAAAATAAATGGGTTGGATTCGTGCCAGTCCGTTTAACATGCTTAACCCGTTTAGTTATATGGGTCGTTATCGGGCCGACACGGCCCGGCCCGTTTATTAAGCCTATATATATGTGTAAATTTTCTAGAAAGAAACTGTCTTCTATTATTTTTGGAATAGTAAAAAATAAGAATAAATAGGCTAAGGAAGAAACCTTATCTTCCTAAAAGAAACTATCATAATTAAAGATAAACTCTAAAGATAAACTCTAACCTAAGAAACCTTATCTCTAATGATAAACCATTTATCCTCTATTTTATTTAAATTCAAATACAAAGACCTTATCTAGCCAACAATATATATATATATATATATATATATTTTAGACAAAACCCTACTTCTGACTCAGTCTCTTGAAACTAATTTTGGTTTTTAGAGCGTAGTTGGGCATTTAACCTCAAGGCTCAAAGAAGACATTTTCCTATATTTATTTTATGTTTTATGCACTTAAACATTCAAATGTTTGGTTATGTTTTCAAACTTATTTAAATGTACTTGGCTATGTTTTCAAACTTCTTTGGATGTTTGGTAATTTGTATGTTTTGAAACATATATACTTGATAATCTAGTAGTATCATATATATATGTGTGTGTTTGATATTTGGATATTTTAATGTGTGTTGGCTATTATGCATGATTTTATATTAAGTAGTCAATTAATATAGTTTTGAATACAATATAAAATTCCACTATTTTTGCTAGTTGGGTCATAAACGTGTTTTTTTCGTGTCGGCCCATCACGGCACGTTTAGTAATCGTGTTCACGTGTCGTGTCGTGTTAACCATGTTATTAGCGTTTCGTGTTCGTGTTTGGGGTTCTGACACGTTTATTAATCGTGTCGTGTTCGTGTTCACTATAATCGTGTCGTGCCGTAATCGTGTCAGCCCGAACACGATACGCAAACACGAATTGTCAGCCCTGCAATAATTACACTAATAATTATTGATTAATGTTTTATAAGTTTTTCATCACAGCTGGTCTACTAAAAGCATAGTTCAAAAGCGTCCAATTGCTCTATAGAAGGGCAAGTTGACTGCAAATATTTAAGAAAATGATAGGTTTATTTATTACATGAGAGCCAAATACAAAGATATTTATCAAAAGAATATTAAATATTATCATGGTCTCCATTAGATAAGGTAGTTTGGATTATAAATAGGGTGGTTCTATTCACACTTTCCATTTTACTCTCTACACACTCCACATAATTTTTAAATAATTAAATTTTCTTTTTACGCCGAATTATTTTCATAGAATTATTAAGGATAATTTTATTTACACTTATTTTTTTCTCTTCACACCCACCTCTTTACTCTCCACACCATCTTCTAACTACACATTATACATAAACTAATTTATTACTTTAGTGTTATATCTTTATATTTTTATTTTGTTGAAACTTTAGGAGTGGAGAGTTTATTTATTTATTTTTAAGTTCAATAGGGAAAAAATGGAAAAAATAAATAAATGAAAAGGTAAATGAAAAAAATAAAAATGTCAATTGAGTTGCATTATATTCATTGAATATTGATCAAACCCGATAGCAGACAAAAATGCAGTAAGATACTATCTTATGAGGACAAGAAGGATTTGGAAAAAAAAAAAAAAAAAAAAAAAAAGTAGAAAAACCCCGTAGTCTGGCATTTTAAAAATTAAAAAGAAAAAGTGAAACAATTAGCTCAAAAAATTGATTAGCAACAAATATGAATACAAAATGAAAAACAAAAAGTAAAAAAATCTACATATAACAAATAGTAAAAGAAAATTAATCTACCTCCATGTAATTTTTTAGAATAGTCATTAAAAAGTAAAAATTATTTGCTATGTATTTTTTAAATAGAAATAGTTTATGATTTAAGAATATAATATGTAAGGTGTGTATAGAGAGGAAAAAAAAAAGGACTATTAATTTTTTTTTATAATATAACTTAATAATTAAGTCTATTGTCCTTTTTTGTCATTTTATTAAAGAGCTTTATATAATAAAAAAATTAATTTAAGGGAGTGTGGAGAATAAAAAAGAGAGTATAAATAGAACCACCCTTATAAATAATTCACACTAAGAGATGGACCAACCGAAATCCAAGAGCCTTTCTTATAAGTTTATGGAAGATCTAAATCATTGTCGGATTATGTTTGACCCCATGGTTTCTGACGAGATATTCCCTACAGTCTCCATATTGTTGTATGTGGGGTCCTTCTCACCAAATACTTTGGAAAATGTAACAATATATGAATTAATATTATTGCATATAATGCGACACATCTCCTGAATCCTGCTAAGCAGAAAGTACATGTGCATGAACATGTTATAAGAATAGAAAAGGCTTCAACTCATGACAATTCATTTAATTATAAGAAACGTGTTTAATTGTATCTCACTATAAGATACCATACAAAACCATGACAAGTATGTATTATAATTGAGATTCTGTTATACGATATGAAAAAAAAAAAAAAAAAAAAATTGTTAATACTGAAGAAACATATCAAAACATATTTTTTTAATTAAATTTTATGACAGTGCTAAACAATATCGATAGGTTTTTTTTTCTTATTCTATCATAGAATTATCATGCTAAAGCATATATTAATGTAACAATTAATGCGATCAATTATGTAACAAAACATCTCCAAATCCTATATTCATCTTCGGACTAAATCATGTGCATGAGTGGTGGAATAGTCAAAATCTTGGGGGGGTCCAGGTCTCACTAGACATTAATTTGGCCAACTTGACTTGATCTTATTGTATGATTGTATAGAGGACCTCTTTAGGAAGAATTTGACATCTTTTTCATAAATTGCACTCTGACCAACCATAGCCCAAGAAGCTCTCTTTATCTCTATACTCCTTTCTCACTAACCAAAGTGATCAAATCTCTCTCTCTGAAGTTTTTCTCTTGATACAACAACAAGATGAAGGTATATATATATATATATATATTTGTTTATCGTCATTTTGTTTCTTTTTGGTGCAGTTACTCTGCTGGATGCATCGAAAGTTTCGCCAGAATACCAATGAAGCTCTTAAAGCTCTTGTCATTGGTAAGACTGAGGTGTTAGATACTTCTTAATTTGGTGATTAATTTGTTTTTCCAAAGTGAAGATCAGTGAAAAAATGCTCGTCAAATTAAGTCATCTTTACGACCATGTTCTTGCGTGTAAATCAGATGTAACATGGTAGCAAACTAAAATGGCTGATTGAACTTTTCTATATTTCTTAAAGAATCATTTCAGAGTAGAACTCCATTAAAAATAAAAAAAATATAAAAAAAAGAGGAAAAAGAAATAAGAAACAGACTTATCCTTAAGAACCCAATGCAAAATAGATAAGAACAAATTTAATAATATATTCTAGATAGAAACATACCCATATGGTGTTCCTGTTAGATATGATCAAATATTATAGTCACTTTCTTTAGTTATTAACTTTAGTTTTGCTATATATCATTCAAGTTACCTTAGGCCTTAAGTAGACAAATAGCCATTCTTGTGATTATTCTTGTTTTCTAACTAATTAGTAGTTCTTTAGTTATTCTCACTCCGATGCAATGAAATTATAAATCAATCTAAAAACAGTATTAGATTTGTTATATTTTGCATACAATTTTTTTTTTTTGCTTTTTAAAAATATAATCCATTTACTAACTAACCTTTGCTTATAGCTTCTAATTTAATTGTCATTAGTTGCTCCTAATTGTTCTATTATATGCAATATTTTTCCTAAAGTAAAATTTACCTTTCACTTTCTTACTCAGCCTTCTACTGTTCCTTTTTATTCTTAAAAACAATTTTCAGAATTGCTTCCTCTTTCCATATATATATATATATATTCAATTAATCGTAACACGTTAGTTTTTCTTTCTTTCTTTCCAGAAGTAAAATTTATGCCTAATGCCTCAAGTATTTTCGTTTTTCAGGACAATCATCAATTGATGATCAACAATACTTCACAAAACCAAACTATGGCAATACCACCAGACCCTTGAAACAAGTCCAGAGAGACAATTACAACAACAACAACAACCTCCGAAAATCCTTCAATGGTCTAGAAGATCAAGAAGACTACGAAGATCACGAGGAATCATCCGACGCAATCTCCGACCTCTTCCACGGCTTTCTCGCAATCGGAACCCTCGGATCAAACGACCAGATCAACATCACCGACCACCCCGCGACACCAACTTTCTCGATCTCCGTCGAGAACATCACCGAGAAGGAGACCGAGGTGACCGAGAACGAACTGAAGCTCATCAACGATGAATTGGAGAAAGTTTTGTCGGCCGAAGCACCGGACGACGGCTTCAACGAGTACTCTTCCGGAAGGAACAGCCATGTCAGTAATGGAAGGAGCAGCCATGGAAGCATCATAACGCTCAGTGGCAAGGCTGATCAGGACGGGAATACTACCGCTGTTTGTCCCCTACAAGGTTACCTTTTCGGGTCCGCGATCGAGTTGTCGGAAACGACAACGACGGTTGTGCAGGCCAAGAAGGAGCACAGGACATCTCTTGGCGAGCTTTTTCAGAGAAGCAAAGTTGTGGAGGAGAGTAATGGTGGTGGAGGGAAAAACGACAAGGATATGATTCATCAGGAGAAGATGATGAGGTCGGAAAAGGAAGGTGACAAATCCGCCATGAACATGATGAAGAAGAAGCTTAAGAAGAAAATGCTACATGCTTCTTCTCGAACAGGAGGTACTACTACTACTGCGGGTGGTGGTGGACCAGGTGATCCGGCTCCGACAGAAACTAAACTGCACAAGGTATGTATGGCCACACTCACAATATGGTTTACTTACTATAGGAAAATGATATAATAAAACCGTATTACTACTCAAACATGCATGTAAATCCTGAATTGACACTTGTCCATGGACCCTGTTTTGTCCCAAAAAAGTTGAAATGGAGTGTTTTATGGCATAATATTTTGACGCTGTGTTCCAAAATGTTAAAACCCTCTCCAGAAGTTAAAACCCTCTCCAGACTATATAACCGAAAGTTCACATTTGACTCTATTCTAAACTGAAAAGTTTAAGCCTTCTCAAAACAAATAGAATTGCAAAATTTACGTACCTTGTTATCAAGCAATTGCAAAACTTACATGATTGTTTATTATCTCCTTCACGTAGGTCAGTTTAGGAGAGAGAGCGTATTGATTGAGTTTTATTTTTATTTTCTCTATTTTAATTGGTTTGGTTTCCTTTTTTTTTTTTTTTTTAAATAATTAAGTTAGTAGTTTTGGAAATTTCGAACTGTCAAACAAGCCGAATTGATTAAAATTCTTAAGTAAAATTTTATATTATGTTGAATTGGTTTTAATTCTCCTTAAATATCTTAAACGGGACTGAACTGATCAAAAAATAAATTAACATATTATAAGATTTGATTCATGATTTTCTACTTTAAACTGGCACGAACATCCCTTTTAAGTCAGCCTTATATCTTTATTTATTATTATTATTATTTTTTTTTGTAAGCATGTGTACTCCTTACTTATATAAATGCAACAGAGACAAATTTGTATTTTGTTGAGTTTGGTTTAATGATCGATGTGTTTGGTTGTAGATACTCCATATGTTCCACAGGAAAGTTCACCCTGAGACCTCAGCAACTGTGTTGAAGTCTAGTAAGCGACAAAAGAATGAACAGAAGAAGAAAACGACACATGAATATGGCGGTGCTGGCAACAATGGAGGACAAGTTCACCCAGATCATGAGGATATCATATTATGTCCTCAGAGAGCTCTCTTTCTGAAGCAGAAAATACGGCGCTACAGAAGCCAGTCAAACCCACCCCAATTCACATTTGGCAGCATTGACTCTAACGGGAACAGGGAGCAATGGATCAAAACTGATGCAGACTGTAAGACCTAATAATTGTTATTATATATGTTTCACCTTCTTAGTTATATATAATTAGGAAAAACAAAAATTTTGGGTGTTTTTATATATTCGTAGTAAAGTATGTGTAGCACCAATAAAAGATAAGGTGTGCAAATGCGGCTTGAGGTGGTTCAGACATGTCCAACGTAGACCGCTAGAAGCACCAGTTCGTATTTGAGAGGACATTCTTATACCTAATACTAGGAGAGGGAGGGGTAGACCAAGAATTACGTAGACCGAAGTCGTTAGGAAAGACATTCTAGATCTAGGCCTTCAGGAAAGTTTAATTTCGAACAGAGCCGTGTGAAAAAGTGAAATCCATATAGCTGACCTAATTAAGTTAGAATTAAGGCTTGTTATTGTTGTTGTTTTTATACAACATATATTGAACATCGTTTTAATTGGATGCCAAACTAATTATCTATTATGAGAACTTAATAGAGGTCTCAACTATATATTAATTTATTTTTAATATTAACTAATATAATATCTGATTCGTCATTATTCATGTAATAAATTATATTTAGAGCACTTTAAATACTTACTAATGTAATAATGACAACTATAATAATTTAGATTCATTAAATATTATAAAGATGATATTTAATAAATACCCATCATGATTATCTATGCTTTCCTAGTAATTGGTATGATTCAAATTCCAAAATATCAAACATGTACACTAGCATAATTTTCACTATGTTCCTACAATGACTAAGCTGATATTTTTTATTTTTCTTTTTGTTGTGTTTATTGTAGACCTAGTCTTGGAGCTCTGAACTGCATGCAGAGGAAAGCAAGTTGTCTTCTAAGTTCTTGATTAGTAAGAAGAAATGTCATGCTTGTAAAATTTTTCTTGTTGAGAAATGTTACCGTTACTATCTGAGTTGTTGTGTGAGCTGGAGTGGAATAAATAAATAACAAGAGGTACTCCTCTTATGAAACTGGTTATCTGAGTGGTCAATGTAAAAGTCTCTTATAGTTCTAAACTCGTCTTATATTCAAGAACAGTTATCAATATGAACTTTTAAATGTCATCTATATAGAATCTCAAGTATTTTAATTCTTCGTCTTCTTCTTCTCCTTCTACTCTTTCTTTATATCAATTTAGTATTTTTCTTTCTTTTCTCTTACTCCTACTGTTATCTACTATCAATATCCGTGTTAAAGACGTTTATATTTTCTGAAAAAAGCAAAAAGAAATGTGCTTTATTTATATATCTAATTTATTGGTCAAAACACTTTTGCAAGCGATTTTGGTTTTCATCTACCTTTATTTCAAAAAAAAAAAAAAAAAAAAAAAAAAAAAAAAAAAAAAAAAACCTACACACTTGTTAATTTAAGTTATCGTTGTTTAGGGCTCAAAAGCTCCTTTAGTTGTTCCTTGTCAGTATCACTGCTCTCGATCGAAGAAAGGGAAAAAGCAGCACTCACACAAAACTACAAGGAGAGAGAGAGAGTAGACATGCACTCAATAAGCATATATACGACCGTAACTTAGCTAATAGACCCTAAATTGAACGCAAAGGGGGGAAAATTTTGAATAAAGGTAAAATTGACTGTTTAAAATGTTTGTGCTCTACCACTCTTGTCTCTGCAAAAAACCAGCCAAAACTTTATCCATTGCATACCCATAAATAATCGTTCGGGAAAAAAAAAAAAAAAGAACAAAACAAAACAAAAAATCCAACTTACATCGACTAACGTAAAGATAAAGAAGCGGTTTAAAACAACTTAGATGACGTTTAGTTTATGTATTCAGAATCATAATTCAGACTTATTTTCATTTTACGTATATTTTTTGTGAGAAAAAATACTATAAAGAATCATGAATCATGATTCAGAATCAGAGACGAATATAGGAAACAAACGTCTCCTTAGAGGAAGTTGAATGACCGCCGAAACGATCACAAATACTAAACGACATAACCTCAGGCACGACGCTGAGTGAAAGAAACGACAGCACAATAACAAACTAGCAAAACATTTAACGACAAACCACATATAAATAGAAAACGACAATCTTTATATAAACAACATCAAAGCTACAAACGACAAAAAAATATGGAAAACGACGGCGTACCCCAAAATGACGAGAGCCCATGATTTGACAATAGCATCAAGAAATAACAGTCAACGGGAGGGGGGACGACAGCACATAGAAAACGCCTGGAACTTTGTAAGGACGTTGAAAGGAAAAGTGATGATAGTCTCTTGGAAAACGACACCAAGTGATACACGAGAACAAAGCTACTAAATTACATGAAAGGGAAAACGACATCGACCTTAATTAGAGAAGACACGCTAAAGAAACAACAATAGAATGTATAACGAAACTGGAAACAAATAAAAGTAACAGAATGATGTGCAACAGAGACAAATGTAAAAACAACGTGAAAATAAATAAATAAGCCGCGCTAGCTTTAAGAAACGACAGGAAGGTTAAAGAAACACTTCAGTATAAACGACGAATTATTGCCTTGAAAAAATGATGATCGCTAAAGAAACGACACAAACAGTAAAAACGAGAAAAGATTGAAGAACAGCACGAGATGACACCACGACAAGATATCAAACGACAGCGCACTAGGGAGGATGACAAAAAAGAAAACGAATGTGACCTAAAGAAACGACAACTAAAATTAAATAACAATATCAATGAATAACCGTTCGTTATGGAAAAGTCAATCACAGGAAAAGCGACAAATTATTGAAAACCATTGCTTGGAAAAAAAACGACAATGATTTTGCAAAACGACGACAATAGATCCTTACACAAGTGCAGAGACCTTTTTCCTGTAGAGCTTATCAGCTCTTTCACTTTTCAGTTGATTTGTAAGGACCCCTTTTTTTTTTTTTTTTTTTTTTTTTTTTTTTTCATGGTATGTCTGCACAAGCGATGTAGCATTTACCTATCATTTCTAATACCTTTGTCAAGAACAACAGTTATGACAAGCTTATATATAAATTTCATCATAGAAAATGTAATTCACAGTTTTGAGAATCTTATCAATAATGAAAGGTTTATTAATTCAAAGCTTAACTTATGAATTAGGTAATAAAGGTGCAAAACATAATAAATGATAGATATAAAAATCAGAGCTCGACCCAAAGGCAAACGGAATGCCTCTAGCACGCACTATCCATGTAGTTTACCAGCAATTCCTGAACCATCCCTCTGTCTGGCATTCTCCCTGCTGCGCCATATACGGGAGCTAGCCCTCCATTTATGGGACCCGGATTTTCTTTCACCTGAAAGTATGCAATAAACAGAATATGAGCACTTCATGTTTGTGCCCCTAGATCAGCCTTATAAACTATAATGGCTTTGTTTGTTAGTTTATAGGACCCAGTTCTAATCTAAACAGTTTTTTTTTTTTTTTTTGGTAGCTCAGAAACTACGTACCGTATTAACTGATTCCTTCAAGTCTCTAAGGAATTCCTCAACAACTGGTACATGTTGAAGGGTTACGCATATATGAATGCTGATTCAAGTCACAAAAGTAAAAATTCAGTATTTAGTTCTAAGCAGTCTGTTTTCATAAACATATTTAAGAGAGAGAGTCCACCTGTTGGGTCTCTGAAGTGCATTTAAATGCCAGCCTTTAGATGTCAATATGTCGTTCACCTCAAATATGTCGACAACCTCTGATCCAAATGCAACAATTGTCATGTCTGGCCTGCCAATGATGAACAACTCTGGAATTTCCTTTACGCTGCACACGAGTAGGCAATAAAAACCGAAAATTGCATCTTCAGGTTCACCTCCAAGCAAGAAAAAAAACTTGAAAGGAAGAAAAGTGAACATGGTGTACCCTTTCTGTATTCTCTTTGACACGTCCATGATTTGCTTTGTATTCTCCAAGTACCCTATGAATATCAAAATGCCAAGGATAAACAATGAGTTTATGGATAAAGCATTTGCAACAAACAAAAATATAATTGGATGTTGTTTTCTCCCTACAAATAAGTATATTTTTCACCTTCTTCTCCCAAAGACATCATAGCCGCCCAAGCACCGGCAACTAAACTACCAGGCCTGCTTCCAGCCATGCTAGGAGACACGTATAGCCCACCTGACCACTCAGTAACTACATCACGAAATGTAAACAAGAGGGAAATGAAACTCCATTAGACCAAAATCATAAATAGCCTATCCAATCACATATATGCGTCTATTCTTGATTTTCCATCTTAAAAATCTTTCTTCTCAGCTCTCTTTTGGTTATTTTTAATTTGTTCTCTCCAGTTTTAGAAGTGATGAATTCAGAGTGAAGGAAAAAGAGCAACACAAGTCTTTTTGTCCAAGTTAAAGGAATGTTTAATTATTAATCTTTTATTTCTTTTCCCCTTCTAGCCAAGTAAAAAAAAAAACCGAAATATGAATCGAGAAAAGTAACTTACCAGCAACAAATTGATGCTGCTCAAAAGTAGAAAGGTAAAGTTCCCATCAACCAGAACGCCATGAATAGGAAAGCACATTAGGCTCTACTTATATCAAGTAACTTATAAGGGAACTAAGCCAAACAATTTTTATTTAATTTAAAATTTGAAAAAGTAAAAGAGTGGCATAAAACAGGCCTGCATATCAATATTGGAAGAGATTACGTTGAGGATTCAACCAAAAACCAAAGTTTTACCTTTCTAATGTCATGATTTCTGTATAAAACCACACTGCTTCCTTTAGGAGCCAGCCCATATTTATGCACATCGGCTGATATAGAGGTCACTCCTTTGACAGAAAAGTCAAAAGGTGGAATAGGATACCTGAAAATAAAAATTATCATCATGAATTACAGTGAGGAAAATTTCCAGACACACATGGCAACATGCAATACATTAACACTTTGCAAGTAATGCTGATCCAGATAACTCAGATGATATATACGATATACAAGCAATAATGAGCAAGCGGCAAGGTCAAGAGAGTGCAGAGACGATAGTGGAAAATATTCTCAACAGACAGAATTCAATCAAATAAATCCTTTTAGAATAGCCTGGAAAAACTAGTTTTTTGCAGCTAGAATCAGTCAGCTCAAAAAGAATTCAGAAGATGTACCCAAGTTTACGAGCAAAAGGTAATACAAAGCCACCAAGGCAGAGGTCGACATGTAGACATATCCCATAGCTAGAAGCTAATTCACCAAGCTCCTGCAAAAGATGTTTCCAAATTTTCCACAATTAAAAATTCGTCCATAGATAAATTAGATTCATATTAATAAGTTGTAACCATATGCCTCCCTTACTATGCTCTCACCCCCTTCCCCAACTGAAAAATAAGAGCAGAAGGTCACTTACCTCAATAGGGTCAATGATTCCATGAGGGTAACCAGGTGCAGATCCAACAATCTGCAATATAAAAGAATCTGCTAAGTTACATTACACCAGGTGAGCGTGATCTTTAGATGGGAATTCAGCGTTGCCCATGAATTCTTTATCTTCTCGGTGAGAATGGAAAAACAGACTCGTTATCCTTATATAAAAAATAATGCAAGAAAAACAAAGTAGTAGGACAAAGAAAATACCAAAATGGTGTTTCGATTGACATATCTTCTAATCGCCTTGACATCAGCTTGAAACTCTTTATTCACAGGGACACGCCACAACTTGATGTTAAAATATTGTGCAGCTTTGTCATATGCAGAATGTGCAGATTCGGGTATTATTCTGTGCTTGGGAAGAAATTTTTTCATTTTAAAACTATGAGATAATTGAACATAAAACATACAAAAGCCAAGTTATCACAATGATCATACATTTCAGGTCTTGTTATTCCTTTCTTGGACTTCATATAGTCACGTGATGATTTCATAGCTAATAGTATACTCTCAGTTCCTCCTGAGGTCATATTTCCACATATTTGTCGTCCAGAAGACTTATCTTTACCGCCAAGTAATGCAGCTGTCATGGCAACCACTTCTGCTTCAAATCGCACTACACTTTGGAATACATCTGAATGCAACGGATTGGTATGTGCAAACCTGAATGAAGATTAAACAAGTTCAGACAAGAGGAAATGCACGTACAATGGCAGGGACTTGAGTAACCAATCATATCAAAGCTGCCCTGAAACCCGGCAACTGAAGCTATGAAGAAAACAAAAGCACTATTAACACACTTTCTTGTGCACACGGAAAATGATGGTTAATTAGCTCAAAATGTTCCATATAACAACATACCAGTGGAAGACATGATTCTAGAAGTACAACAGAAAAAAATTACTCTCAGTGTTCTATCTAACTCCAAGTCTCCAACTATTTTAATAGAAAATCCGTAGTCTAAATTAATATCTTCACACCCCAAAGTCAATGAATAGGAGAGGAAGGAGAATATTGATGCGAGAAAGTAGTATTCTTTCCTTTTTCACTTCAGCCCCCCTATATATCCCGTTTCACTTACTAAAATCCAAGTAAACTAGTGTTAAGCAGAAGCCCAAAAGAAAAATAGTACGGTAATGGTGAAACCCAGAAAGAATGGGAATAATAACAGAAGATCCAGTGAAATACATTTCTTATCATTGGTATACTAGTCTTACTAACATTGAACATGCCTCGTTCAGCACAGAAAAGTGTCCTTCGCATTCGCTTCCTCCAACATAACTGCAAAATAACTAAAAAGTTGAAATTCAAAGCAGAAAAAAAAGAAAAAAACAAACAAACAAACAAATAAACTTCTTTAGTATCATTTACTTGAGTTTATGTAATTCCAATGCAAATGAAAACAGAACATACACTGTACCAGAGCATTTGCCTTGCCAAACCGGATCTTTTGTTTTCTCAATCTTCATTATTTCTAGGACTTCTGCTCCTAAGCCTACACTAGGCAACTCGGTCCTCCAAGCTACTCTTTTAGATTGACCACCAGAATTTAACTGATCCACAACCTGTTCGTTCGGAAGAGAAGAAATCGAGAATATCAATCCAACCCTTATTTTCAAATAAACAACTTGAAAGAAATTAGTAAAAAATTAACAAGATTGAATTGAGCAACTATTTGGACTTTATCCAGCCAAAAAGAAAAAAGAAAAAAAAGAACAAAATATTTGGATTTTTCACGAATTCCAGCAACCAGAAGAGAAGTGCAAATAAAATTAATCATCTTTCTAAAGTTTAACGCTCTAGAAAACAATGTTGCAAATATATTATCAAGTTATGGACTGGACTTAACACAAGTCAACTATTTCCAAGCAATAAAAAAGCACAAAAGGTAGTGCTAGAAACTCCAACTTCAAAGCTCCATCACTCCAAAGTCCAAACACCATGGCCCGTCTAATTTGAAGCCCCACATCAACAACCTCTAAGCAAATAAACATTCCATGCCAGTCTCGGAAAACGCTAATCCCGAGAAACCCGAAGAAAAAATTCTCATTGAATTTCGCAGTCACGCAATAAATGTGTCTTCTCTTTCCATCTCATTTCATCTGTTGTCCAAAATACACACATATAGATATAGATATACATACATATATATAAAGCAAAACTACAAGGCATATAATAGCGTAGAAAAACTAAATTCAGAAACGAAAATAGACGAAGTCCGACCTTCTGTTTCTCCGCGTCAATATAGCCCTGTACGCCAGGAATCAATCTGTTCCAAAGCGAAAAGGGGGGGAAAATCAAACGAAAAATGGATAATTGACCTCAAATTTTCCAAACAAACACTAAATCGGCACGAAACAAAAACATTATCCGAGAAAATTTACTTGACGAAGCTCATGAGAAGCGCCAAGACGCTGGCTTTGAGTCCTCTCTCGCAAACGACGCGAAGAGCCGACTGGACGATCCAAGCGACGGCGAGAGCGGGGAGCGGAGAAATGACAAGAACCAGAGGCTCGTATTGAGATAAGCGTGAATTCGCCGAGTTTCTGACGCCAAGCAAGAACGACTTCATAGAGGAATAATCCATGGCTGCCAAACAAAACAAACACCAGAAGAAGAAGAAGAAGAAGAAGAAGAGAGAAATGTTTGTAGTAATATATGATTATAAAAAAGTTTATTTCTTTTGCTCTTCGATGAAGCCTCGTTTGGCGTTGTGATATTTGTGATGTGTTTAGGTTGGTTTGTTGGGTAGAAACTAAGGTTGTTTAGTTGGAGAATATATTCTAATTTGAATTATTATTTATAATTTATTATAATATTTTTTTATAAAAAATATATATAAATTAAAAATATTTTAATTTTATGATTTTAATTTATAAATCAATCGTTTTTTGCGTTTTTTTTTTTTAATATAGATAATCTTGTGCCAGCTTTTTGCCTAGTGGAATTTTTTTTGGCTTTTGCGAAAAGATAATGAAAAGAAAAGAAAAGATATTTTTCGAAAGCAGCTATGGCTGAGGTGTAAGCTTAAAACGACGATTGCATTCCGGTAACAGTCATAAGAAGGTCGTCACTCAAAGAAAGAAAGAAAGAAAGAAAGAAAGAAAAATTATGAGAGCAAAAGAAACCAAATTTTGGTTAAAAAAAAAAAAAAAAAGAAAAGAAAGAGGTCCAAAAATAAAAATAAAGTAGTAGTAAAAATGCTCATCCAATGGAGCCAATTTCGCAGAAAATTGGGTGGGCCCCACGGAGGTTGTGTGGGCCTATCATCGTTGCGAGAAAAAAAATATAAATATTTTATACTTTTAAGTAATATATTTTTTTAATTAAATAATTATATTTTTTTTTTAAAATAAATAATGGATAAAAATTCATACTCATATACTCTAAAAAATAAGTTAAATAATTTTCTCTTTTCATGTCGACTTTACTCTCCATAAAACTGAACTTTACTCTCCATAAAACTGAACAATAATGCTTAAAGTAAAAAGAGCAAAAACGAAACTTCTTTTTATTTTGAAGAGAAAAACAATATTTGAAGTTCTCAATTGCTTTCTTTTGTTATTTGCACCCAAAAAAGAAAACAAAAATGACTTTCACTAAGGACCATAAAGAAATCAAGTGTCAATTTTGTCAGAATTTTATCAAATTTACTGGGAAGCGAGGGCTCGTTTGTTTCATATATTCAAATTTAAATTATTGATTATACTATAGTGTTTTGACTCTCATAAAAAATTTTAAATTTTAAACATTAGAATTAAGAATTATGATTTGAGTATACTTTTCAAACGGGCTTTAAGCTTAATCCTAAAGGACAAATAGTAAAAAGGGCAAAACAGAATGTGTAAACCACGATATCTTGGTCCGGGTGAAGAATTTTTCGTTCGCATATAAACTTATTAAGGGTGTATTTCGTTGCAATGGGGGAATAGTAATGGTAATGGGAATATGAATGGTAATGGAATTGAATGGAAAAGAAATTTGATTCATTTATTTTGTTGTAATTTTAGAAATACTATGGAATGAAACATGAATATTTTTATGTTGACAAAATTACCCTTATGTTATATAGATAACACTAATATTTTATATATTAATATAATTAAACTATTTATTATATAATTATGATGTAACACCCGCCTTATCAAATAACATATAGATGCAAAAGAATTCACATGTCGAGATTAGGAAAGAATAAAAGTTTAAATTTTCTTCTAAGTAGACACTTGGCGAGATTAGGAAAGAATAAAAGTTTAAATTTTATTCTAAGTTGACACTTGTCGAGATTAGGAAAGAATAAAAGTTTAAATTTTATTCTAAGTTGACACTTGTCGAGATTAGGAAAGAATAAAAGTTCAAAATTTCTTCTAAGTGGACACTTGTCAAGATTAGGAAAGAATAAAAGTTCAAAATTTCTTCTAAGTGGACACTTGTCGATATTAGGAAAGAAGAAAAGTTCAAATTTTCTTCTAAGTGGACACGTGTCGAGATAAGGAAAGAAGAAAAGTTTAAATTTTCTTCTCAGTGGACACTTGTCAAGATGAGGAAAGAAGAAAAGTTCAAATTGTGTTTTGAAAGACACTTGTCAAGTATATGGATACTTGGAATTTGATCAATGGCCAATATTTAGCCAAACACTTGTGATCTAAAGGTAGATATGAGATATGGAATCAATGGCTAGGAGCTATCCGCATAAGCTTTGATCTGAGGGCTAGAATGTAAGATGGCATACTATAAATAGGTGATGGATTCATTCCATCCTTCATATAGAAGAAGCTAGAGAGAGAAAGTTTGCGAGATAGAGAGAAAGAGAAAATAGAAAGACAAAAAGAAAGAGAGAGAAAATTGAGAGAAGAATTTTCCTCTCCACCAGTAAATTTATAAGTAGACTTTCTACTGCATTACTTGAACAGTAGTACATGAAAGTTTTCAGTTTATGCAAATTGTCAATTTATATATATTTGATGTGTTTTCATGAGACTTATAAAGTGTTTTAGTTTTCATAATATGATATGAATCTCGTGTTGATTACAAACTGACTCAGTTAGTAAAATGGTGAAATCCTTGAGGAACAAGAGATTCCAAGACAGGGTCCACCAAATAGAAGACAAAGAAGTTCTAATAACACAAGATGAATGTTAGACATAAGGGCCCTAAAAGATTAAAGAAAATTATTTTCAAAGTGGAAATTATTTTACAGTTTACTTACTGAGCTTTAGCTCATATAGTTCTTGTGATGTAGGTAAGCTCCCAGTAGAAGTTTCAGTTAATTAAGCAAGAGCGGTGTTAAGAGGTCTTTAAGTTCTGCGGTTCAAGTCCCATGACGAGTTTAAGTTAAGAGATCTTAAGTTATGTAATTTGTAAATTTAAGAATTTGTTCGAGGATTATTCTTAATATAGAGATTATTTCTCTATTTAAGTAGTAATATAGTAAAGTAAGTTAATGTTTTTCTTGAGTTGGCGTAGTCATTAGCTGTTGACTCGGGAATAGCGTTACATATGATATAGATTATAATAATATTATTAAAATGGTTAATGTGATTATAATATTTTAAAATATATGATAAAATTATATAAGAAATGATAATATTTCAATTATAATATAACTAAAAATTACAACTATATTATATTATACTATTATATAATTTATATAATTACAATATAATATATAATTATTATTATGTTATATTAAACAAATATATTATAATTAATACATTATGACTACATAATGTGTATAATACACTATAATATATAATAATATTAAAACTATAACACTCTATTAAAATTTAATTATTAAATTATTATTATAATAGAACATAATTATATTAATATATTATTATATCATTATCATATTATATAATAATATAATAATATAATTATTATATTATTTGTTACACTATTACAACTATATTATATTATAATAAATTATGTTATATTAAATTATAATATCTTATTATATAATAAAATAATAATATTAGAATTATTAATATAATTATGATATTATTTGTTATAATATTACAACTATATTATATTATTGTATATATTATATTGTAATATTATCATATATTATATTATAAGATATCATTACAATATAAAATATAATATATTGTTATAAAATATTAAATAAATATAGTATAATTAATACATTACTTTAATCATAATGTGCAATATAATATAATAGATAATATTAGAGGTATAATGACAACAATATTATATTATATCATATTATTATATTGTTATACCTATATTATATTATAATATTTTTATTATATATTATATTACATATTATAAGATATAATTACTATATAATATATTATAATTATATTATAATATTCAAGGGTAATTATGAAAAAAAGAGGTTACAATGACTATTCTTCTCATGTGATAAAGGAATGGTAATTCACCTAAAATAGAAGAACGATCATTCATTTTGAATGTCCATTCATTTTTATAAATCCAACTAAACATCATACTTGAATTCCATTCCATTTCATTGCTTTCCTTTCCTCCGACTAAACACACCCTAAATTCAAAGAATGTTCTTTCAAAACGGATATTAAATTCAAGGAATATATTCCCATACAATTTGTTTGTTGTAGTGTACTTTGTAACATTAGTTAAGGCTCACGACAGTGAGTTCGTCGAGAAATAATAGGTCCAGATATGTGCTTCCTTAAAGCCTGTATATTTTTTGATTGATATTTATTTTAAAAAATAGAGAATTTATCATTGAGAGTGCATGAATCTAGACCTTTACTCTTGATATTGTTAGTGTAATTATTTGACTAAAAATGTTATGAATTAAGAGTAAAAGGTAAATATCATGACTCATTTCAAGGGGTATTTATTAAGATTACTCGCAATAAAAAATTATTAAACTTAGTCTTAAAGTTCATGAGTATGAAATTTTTATCATTTATTCTTAATTAATATCTTTTAACTAAGATGATTTTTTGATTAAAAATAATATTAATCAAAGATAAAAATCCAACAAATGCACACTACGCTATTTGTCTCCTTTCCCTGGCCATAAAGAACAGCAGGCCCAAAGCCCCAAAGTATGACTTGAGAAAAAGTTGGGCCTCAAATAATCTAAAGCCTCAAACATTTCGGCCCATTTCAATGACGACTCCTGGCCCAGTACACAGAGACTTTTTTTTTTTTTTTTTGTGCAAAATACACTGAACAGGTAGAGAATCTTCTGGACTTGACAAATTGGCGATCGGAATTATTTTAATAATCTTCTTTAGTATATAGAAAAGCGCCAAATGACGCTTTCGTCGTTTCGTCCGGCTCAGTGCGAAACATTACGTCCATGAGGAGTGTTAAACGAAGCTTTCCGTGGTTTTGTCCGGCCAGGACAAAACGTTTCGTCTTTGAGGGA